AAAAAAATAATTATAAATATAATTAAATATATGCAGGAAAAAAGTCCAAAAAAAAATGGTATTTTATCTTTTACTATCTGACTTCAATTGGCAAGCTAGAAAAAAAAGAAGAATATTTTATGCCCATCATCTCATATGTCGTCTTAAACCCTCATCATGCAAAAATCTATGTAAACCCAATACGAAAGTCTAGTGAATTGATATTAGCCCTAAATGTATTAAAATTCATTAGTAATTCACATAAAATATAAACACTCTGTAGAAATTTCGATCCATACGCATGATATCATCGCGGCAACACTTCATCTATACGCATATGCTACAGTACTTCACATATATACTATATAAATTAGCCTCTTTAAGACTATGGCGTGGGCGTCTCTACATATCATTTATTATTTCCAATTATCTGTCTGAGCATGCAAAGTTCATTTGGAGCCTGGTTAACGCCTCACTGTGACGTATTGCCAATTGTGTTTCGGCCGAATGCTCTTTGGCTAATTAAGTATGCGTATAATTTATATACAAATCCCAAAATGTGCTATCAACTCGTTTTCGTACAACATTTGCCGTTCTGCCGTTTTTGACTGTCGGTCGAGTAAACAAAATGCGAATTTCGCTTAATTTATTAACAGAAGACCAGAAGCCGGAGCCAGAAGGCGAATCGACAAAATGTTTGGAAAAAAGCGATATACTAAAGAAATTTAGGAGCAGATAATGGCTAAACAACTTGCTCGAGTGCAGAGGAACCATCTGAATAAATTTGAAAATGGGAATTTATGGTGCTATCTATGGTGGGGGCAGAGTAACGGAAGAAGGCATGGTCCAGAACCTAAGATCCAATATAAACCTGATCAGTCGAGTGTACAGGTTTGTCTGTCTGTATCGATATGTCATATGCATTTGCATTTAAATTTGGGTAATCTTCGAATGCTTGCATAGTAAAATGGCTGATCCAAGTTTATTTTCTAGCAACACAGGTAATCAGGTGGCAAAAGAACTTGTTTCACACCTGATTTCTGGCTGCGGAAAGTTTTGAGCTTTACAATGAGTCTAAAACGTTTTTGACAATCTTCTTTTGACTAATCATAGCACTTGAGGTAAAGGCATTCACTCAAGAGGCAAAAAAATGACGGAGATAAAAATAGTAGTAAAAAAGTAGTAGAAAAAGTAGTAAAAAAAGGTAGTAAAAAAGTAGCGGAAAAAGTAGTAGAAAAAGTAGTCTGAGTTGATAAGACAAATGTGAGAGCGGATTTGAGACTGGCAGCCGAGAGGAAAAAAAGTAATTCTAACTTGGGATAGCATGAAGATGAGATATAGTATAAAAAAAAAAGTATTGATGATAGTATACAGTAGAGAGTTTATAGAGAGTAGAGTTTGACTACCGTATTCATCTGCCTGTTCATTCGTGTGGCTTATATATGTATATATGACCGATTATATTTCGAATAAAGTACGGATAATTACTGGAGTAGAGCTGGAGTAGAAACAAGTGTTCTAAGAGTAGAGTGATGAATGAGATAGCTGACGCTGATGAGCTATGATCATGATTTGAATGACAATTAGCGAGTTGGAGGGCAAGAGGACTTGAGTCGAAGTGGAGTCTTAGGCTCGTTTGTATAAAGAGCAAGAGCAACAGTTTTATGATATATATTGTCTATAAGATATACTCTCCATAGGTGCCTGATTTGATCAGTTTATAGGAATTGACCCTATAGAAGATTTGAGTAGTCTGGCCTAGGGTATTTCCCAGTCGATTACTAGCACTTAGATCACGCTTACTACGTTTATTTGTCTTGGCCTTATGGCGCATCTCCGCGTAATCAATGGCATTGTAATTGACGCGTTTGACAGCAGCCGAAAAAGTCACAAAAAATAAAAACAAACCAAAAAACAAATAATACATCATTCATTCTCTTGTTGTTTTCATTTTTTACCGGTTTTCCAAGATACATTTACTGAGCATGTGTGCGTGTGCGTGTGTGTGTGTTGCTTGCCAAAAACCTGTTCGGCTACCTATGTTAAGGCGACATGGCAAAAGTTCCATTGTCGTCGCTTCTCCCCCCTCTCGCAGCATCACTTACTTCTTATCGATCACTTCCAGGCGATGGCGCTGGTCCTCATCCAAGGTCGCCAAGATGCCGACACGATCGTGCAGGTTCGTCATCAGCTGCTTTATCTCGCTGTGCTGGGCAGCAGTGGGCGCCAAAGTAGGCGTGGCATGATGCGGCTGCAATGGGCAAATGCAATTAGGTGGAAGTAAGGGCAATGCTCATTGAGCTCCAATAGACAAACGCATTCCGTTAGCAGTTGAAACTCGCGTGCGATATTTGATTAAGCAAACGAAATTAGCATTGAGCTGAAACGTTTTTTGCTGCGTATACTTAACGCACTCGATAGTTGCGTCCTCTCCACTGCGCGGGAGCAGGCGGCACAGCTGCTGCAGCATGGGCTGGAGCTGGAGCTTGGGTGGGCACTGTGGGCTCTTGGAGCGCCTCGGTCCAGCTGCATGCACAGCAGATGAGCACCAGGCACAGGCGGAATGTAGGCGTGCCCATGGCGATAAGCGCTACAAAACAATGAATTTGGCAATGCTCGAACGCTCGACACTCGCAGCTCTCAGATCACACACACACAAATCACGTTCTTCTCTAGCAGCAGTGCGAGGCGACTGATCGGCGTGCGCTTCACTGATAGACTGAGCAAGCGGGAAACAAAGCCCAGCGAACAAGACCCATCGCACAGCGAGAGGGAGACTAAGAGAGAGCCAGACTGAGAGAGAGAGAGAGAGAGCAAGCATGTGCCTAGCAAATGAAGAACAGACTTTTGAGCTCTTGCGACGATTGTCTTTTGTTTTGAGTGGTGGACAAGTTTTGGCAGTAAACAGAAGGCAATCTTTTTTTCTCTCTCTCTCTCGGCATCTCTCACGCTCTAGCTTTGTTTATGCTGGGCTTTGCCTTGGCTAGACTCGAAAAATCACCGCGCTTTCAGAAAGTTTGTCAATCACTCACGACTCGAAATGATAAGCGAAGCGATCAAGCATTATATTTTCAAATTGAGCAATATAATTATATACAATTATGTATATATTTTAAATATATATATAATATTGAAAGACGACTTAAAGCAGAAATTCGCATTACTCAGCTCATTGCAAATATTTACAATGGAATTACAGCAACGTATATACTTATACTTTGATCTCACTCTGCCTCTATCTCTTTATCTCTTTCTATCTCTCTCTCTCTCTCTCTCTTTCTTTAGGCTTTCAAGTACCTATACGCTGCAGATTGCATATCTTATTATATTCATATATATGTATAAATAACAAACCAAAGCGCGACTCATTCACTCACGTATGCGAAACCTGCCTCAAGATTTGCGTCACTATCACAACTGATCTACAAACATACATATGTCTTTATATATGTGTATGTCTACCTATTTGTATAGCTGCTCTGAGTTTGAGCTTCCCTTGGGCCTTACCACGCTCAAGTCAGCTCACTCGCTTTTCTTGAAATGTGTCTTGAATATGAATCAACGAATGATCTTTGATCTGACAAATGCAATATAATCATATGGGCCTACGACAGTCTATATGAATATGTTATATACGTATTTCGAATTTATTCTTACATTATAATTATAGTTCATCACAACTGTTGACAGTAACAATTATTGAGTTACTTATACGAGTGACTGTATTAAATGGCATCTACTAAGTCCATAAATGACTATTTGATCAAGAGTTTACATGTTATTATAATTCAAATGAGATTTTTATGGCGTTTATTGAACTTGGACTCTCGCAGATGCAGATAGATCAACGTGTAATTATGAAATCGTAAATGTATGAGCTACGGGACTGGCATTAATAAGTTATTATTATCAATGCCTATTATTTGCAAAAGCAAATAAAATAAAATAAAATAAAAGAAACTAGATTTTTTTGAGCTCGTAAAAAGCTCAGCTCAAATAAACATAAATATATTTACAATTTACATGTTCCTTAAGTTTCAGCCAACCTAAGTTTTGAATTGTATTTTGATCTTTAACTGAAAATATAATGAATGTAAATCGTGAATTATTGAATGGAATTAACTGTGGAGTTTGAGAAATATTGAATGGGTTTTTTATTTAGCCAGCATCATTTTTAAAATGTTTCTCTGCATTAGGTTTATTATATACAATCATTTTGTATACAATCTTTTGTTAGATCTGTGTTAAGTTTAATGAAATAAACATGTTTTGTAGAAGAACATAAAATTTCTTTGTTTTGCCCATTTTTATGCAAAAAAATCAATTTATTGCGTCATCATATATATAAGTATATAGAAATATACAGCTTATATATACAGTGGAGTCCCGATAATAATGGCAAGGGTATCCATTTTTTTTTTTTTTTTTTTTTTTTTAATTTTTGAGTAGTATCGAGCTTGAATTTTTTCAAAGGTATAGAATTTTTTTCGATTTATCGCAATATTTGTACCCCGTTACAAATTATCGAGACTCGACTGTATATATGTATGTATGTGCCCACTGCTAGCTACGTTTTAGATGATAACGCTTTATAGCTTTCCGGATTGTGTCATTTTCCATAGCTGCGATGCTTTAGCTGCTGCTGTTGACTTTAGCTAAATTACGTGGCAATTGTTTTGCCGTTATGGGTTTTTGAAGGTTTTTACCGGTCATCGTGGAAACCTTTTGCCTTTTGCAGCTGGCCAGAGTCGTGCGCAGATCCAACGACTCTGATAGACTGATGGATCATTGGCAGGCAGCGGCATCAACTGCAGCCCTGCTGAATGAACAGATTCGTCGATGACGCCAGCCCAAAGACAACAGCAATAAATTCATTAAAAGAAAAAAGATTGTTTAATAATAATAATAAAAAAAAAAAACAGTTGCATGCCTCGCCAAAGAGTTGTGTCGTTTGCGTAATTAGCCAAAACTACAAATTGTGGGCGACGTTTGCGAAATGTAGCTCAATCTGACATTCAAATGGAGGCAGATCAATTGATATTGCCCGAGTTAATTAGCCCGTGGTGTCAACTATTTCGTTTATTGTCATAAAACAATATTAAAGAATATTAGTTGGCTCAATTGTTATTTATGCGAATTTTTAGCGAGCGAGACATTCGTCACTTTAGCGACAGCCTCGAATTCCAAAGTGTGTCATGCGCCAGCTACTCAAATAGATACAAGTGCGAGATGTGCTTAAGAAGTATGGCAAACTCTTGAATTGACATATACGACTATCGATATCCGAATGGACTCTACAATCTCTATTAAGCCAATCAGTCAGCAAATGCTCAGTTCTCTGAGCTTTTTCATGCTGGACGTCTGATACTACTAAATAAATAATTATTAATCATACTTGTTGAGCAGACCTCGCATGCATGTATATGCCTATGTATCTATATATATATATTCATTACCATTTTCTGCATCTATAGATAGCTACAATTTGAGTGCAAGTCCAAGGGTAATTGAAACAATTTTGTCGAGTTCTATTTGAATTTTGTTTTTTGTTTTTTGAATTTTTTTTATTGGTTTTCTTTTTTTTTTAGTTTTATATTTTTGCATTTTATTTAATATTAAATTATTGTACAGGTTGAACTTATTCAAATTGTATTTAGTTGCCATTCAATATGCATTCGTATTAAATCATAAACATTCAATTTTGGTTTCTTTTCATTCACTTTTTCGCTACTTAGAAATCGAACTACAGATTGTATTTACACGAAGAGAAACAATAAATAAAACATACATATATATATCTTTTTTGTATATATATAATAAAGGTTTCATCTCATTTTTGGTTGCTTCGCCCTTTCAACTATACAAAAAACTGCTTACAGTGTAAACATAAAAACTACACACGCGATGGCTACACAGATTCCTCGAAGAGAA